GGGTCTGGGAACCAGTCAGGGTTGCAGGCTTCAACCACACGTGGGAATGCAGGAGGCAGAAAATGATTCTCTCATCATTGATGCTTCTCTCTCTCTCTCTTTCTCTATTTCTCTCTCCTTCCCTCCCTTCCAACTCTATAAAAAAAACAACAACAACAATAGAAAAATTATCATCTTGTGAGGATTATTAGAAAATTAAAATTTTAAAAATTAAGTTAAATTACCAAAGGGGCCAGCAGTGCCACTTGTGGGTATGTACACGCATAAAAGGGAAAGCAGGGTCCTGGAGGGATTTGGGGCACCGGTGTTCACATCAGCTCAGAATGGAAGCAGCCCCCGGGGGAGGCGCATTGAGAGGTGGAGGGATAAGAAGCAAAAGGGATTATAGGCTGGGACCTTGGGACAGTGCTCCCCTTTCTAAAAGGAAGGACATTCTGGCATGTGATCCCACATGGACGATGAGCCTTGAGGACATGATGCCTCCCGAATTCTAGTTTCACGAGGTGGTCAAATGCACATGGACAGAAAGTAGCAGCCAGGCACTGGGGGAGAAAGAGGGAGAGTTAGAGTGTTTCATGGGTACAGAGGTTCCCTTTAGCCAGATGAGAAAAAGGGGAGACAGCCTTATAGAAGGATGAACATGTGTTCCAGCCTCCAGAGAAGAGAAGGCGGAGGACAAGGAGCCATTGGGTCTGACCACTCTGTCCCTAGGCAGGCAACAGAGAGGACCATTCTCACCAAGCAAGGCAGGGAAACGCAGTCCATCAGGAATCAGGTTCTGGCATACCAGTGCCCAGACCCACATTCACTCACAGTTCTGCTCCACGCTGGCGGGGTTGGAGAGCAGGGAGGTTAGATGTGGGTGAGACCTCCCATAAGGTCACAGTGCCTGGTCCCTGCCTTGCCCCGACATGCCCTGTGTGGCTTTGACCTCTGTGAGCCTTGGCTTACACTCCTTAGACCAGAGACAGGAGTGGTTGTGGGGTCAGTGAGGGGCGCTCAGTGGCCTGGCACAGGGAGGGCTGAGCAGAGGATGGAGCCAACCCCTGGGCAGAAAGCTCCCTCCTGTGGATGTGGTCCCCAGGGAGATCAGGCAACCTAGAAGCCAATCCAGAGAAAATCAGATTAATTAATTCAGAGTAGAGATCTGAACAGCAGACTGGAGAGCATGAGGTCCAGTGGACCTGATTGGCTTAGCCTGCCAGTCTGCGGGGAGGCGGGGCTTCCTGCCCATATAAGGGCGGAGGGCACCCAGCCTGAGCCATTAGACTGCAGAGCCCAGGAGAGCAGGACCATGTCTTCTCCCAGAAGAAGAGCAGCGCGAGCGCCAGCCCTGCTGAGGGTCCCGTCACCAAGCTGTTATCCTCCCGCACATCTGCAAGCTCGGGGGGCCCAGAAGATGCGTGCTTCCTGCCGAGGCCCCATACCGGTGCCCCTGCGTCCTTGCCATCATCCTACCCACCCTGGCGGCCTGCCCCCGCTTTCCTCCAGAGACAGCTGGGCTCCCAAATTTCTCCTCATCCAGCCAGAGTCGGTTAGGAGAGGCCTGGTCCCCCGCACCCCACTGCCCCCCGCCCAGGAGCTGTGTGACCCGGGGCTGAAGGCAAAGAAGCCTCCCAGGTACTCAGTCAGCCGGCCCCGGGCCGCCCAGCTTCCGACCCCGAAGCTCTCCTTCCTCCACATCTCAGCATCAGGCGGGGACAGGAGGAGGGTGGCCCTGGTCCCCAAGCCCTGCCTGGCTGCAGGTGCCAAGAGACCCCTCCCGGCCAGCAGCAGCAGCAGCAGCAGCTCGCCTGCCAAGACCCAGGGGCTGGGCAGCCAGCTCCCAGAGACACGCGCCCCCTCAGACCAGCCGTCCGAGGCCCCGAGCACCCTGCCTGCCAAGCCCATGGCCCTTGGCCCACCCCTGCAGAGTCCACACCAGCCAGTTCCAGCAGAAGAGGGTGGGGACAAAGTCACCCTTCAGCGCTCCCTCAGCCTGTTCCTGGACCAGTGTCCCCAGTTCTGCCCCTCCACCCAGGAAGCCCCAGAGAAGGCGCTCCAGGAGGAGAAGGCGGCCTTCCACCAGAGCCCCAGGAAGAGGAAGTACTGCCAGCGGGCCGCCAGCACCTGCCACAGGCTGCGGGGCCTGGGCCCCAGCCCTAGGCCCGGACCCTGTAAGACCTGCTGGCCATGAAGCTCCCCCGGCCCTGAGCTGGACACTCCGTGCTCCCCGGCCCCCCTCTCCCCCAGGGCCTCCCCGACAGGCGCTCCCTGTGCAGCCTCGTGGCCCAGCACCTCGGACGCGGCATCCAGGACAGGAGGTCGGCCACAGCTCCATGGAGGACACCAGCGCCTGCAGCACCGGGTCCTCTGGGAGGTTGGACAAGATGCCCAGACCCAGCGCTCAGCGCCGCCCAGCGTTTGCAGGACGTGCCTGTGGATTTGGGGTTACTGGGTGATCACACATGTCTCCTGTCCCAAATGTCTAACAATAAAGGATCGGTTCAATAAACTAGAGTGCATCTGTGGTTCTATTTGTCATCGCGTTTATCTCCTGCACTTCCGCCGTGGCTCTAGGTTGAGCATGGACCTAGGAAGCAGGAGGTCAAGGTTTGATTTAGGGTCAGGCACCTGCCCAGGTTGCATATTCCATTCCCAATGGTGGGCATGCAAAGGCAGCTGATCAATGATTTTCCCTTATCATTGATAATTCTACGTCTTTCTCCCTCTCCCTTTCTCTCTAAAATGTACTACAATATATATTAAAATAATATTTATTTTTTATTTTTAACACAATTCAGATTTATTGTAGAAGATTTCAGAAATAAACAACTAGAAAGATGAAAAGGTAACTATTCAAAAATCCTACCATAGAGATATAAGAGTCGAAACATTTGATAAGCTTTCTCTAGGATTATGCAAAATTGAGTATATTATTTCTCTTTAGATTTGGAGCCTGTTTGTTTAAACTTCCTGTGTATGTAACTATGTATTCACATATATTAAAATGAAATAATATATGACTTCTTAGTATGCACCGTCAGTCTTCATTGTCAATAGGGTCTTCTAAACTGTCTTTAAGCAAAATGATGCATAAGAAGAGTAATCTTTACCATAGGCTCAGCAATATAAGCATGAGTTGTGTCTGCAGCATATTTGTGGGCACAAAAATATCACAATACTTCTAAAACCCAAAGTACTTCTAATACTAAACACTGAAAGAAATATGAACTTTCTGGTTCAGTGGTTGAACATCCACCCATGAACCAAGAGGTCACTGTTTTATTCCAGGTCAGTGCACATGCCCAGATTCTGGGCTGGAACCCCAGTAGGAGGCATGCAGGAGGCAGCTGAATATGACCCTCCCTCATCATTGATGTTTTTATCTCTCTCCCCCCCACTGCCCCTTCCTCTTTGCAACCAATAAAAATAATGTTTTAAACATGTGAAATATACATACATTTTTAAAAGATTAATAAAAATAAGATAATTATTTTCCAATCTGCTTATTCTAGTTCAGAAATGGAGAATTAGGGAAGTAAGTAATTTGGGGAAAGTCACATGACTCCTCAATGAACAGTCGGGGTTGAAAGCCAGGTGGTCTGCCTTCACAGCCCACACTCTGAAGCAAACTCTGTCCTAATCCCATGTCACTGAACATTCTTTGAAAACATGATTTGAAAAGCTGCTGTATAGTATTCACTAACATAAACATCCAAACATGCATTAATTTAACTCTTCCCCAGCATTGGGCAATCAGGTTGTTTATAATTGCGCTTGCATTTGTTTTTGGTTTTTGTTAATCCTCCCCCCATCCTCATCGGATATTTTTGCATTGCCTTTTTTTTTTCCCCTTTGAGGAAATGGATAAAATGCTAATAACTCTACTCTTCCCCCCCAAGCAAAGTTGCTTCCCTCAAATCCAATTAATCTTACAATGGAAATTACAATATACATTACTTTTATTTTATTTTTATTTTTTAAAATAATTCTTTATTGCTGAAAGTATTACATATGCCCCCTTTATTTTCATTGCTGTTTAGAAAGTGGGAGTGAGAGGGAGGTAGGGAGGGAAGGAGGAGAGAGAAATATCAATGTGAGAGAAGCATTGGTTTCCTCCCAAATGTGCCCTGACCAGGGATCGAACCTGCAACCCAGATATGTGCCCTTGACCGGAAATTGAACTCTCGACCCCTCCATGCACAGGCCAACGCTCTGACCACTGAGCGCCACCGGCCAGGGCCTGCTCCTGTGTTTTCTGTGTGCACACAGCTTTGTCTTGTAATGACCAAATCTCTCATTATTTCATTAGGGTGTACACCTAATGGGAAGTTTTAGCATCAAAATGATACCTACCTAGCTAAAGTTTAGTGGAGTCACTGCAAATGGCATTTGTAACAAGTTTATTTTTTAAGGGGTTTTACGTGACAGTGCAGGGAATACATAGGAAATCTTTGAACCTTCTGCTCAATTCTGTTGTGAACTTGAAATTTCTCTAAAACATAAATTGTATTTAAAAGGGGCAGAGTGACATGGACATGAGCTTTTGGGGCTTTTTGGCCAGCCACCAGGAACAGCTCCAGCCTGGCTCTGCCGCTGCCAGCTGGATGGCCTCGGGCAGGCCACTCCGTCCCTCTGGCCTCAGTCGCCTCACCTGTGAAAGGGAGGCACCGTCGCTAGGGGCCGGCATGCAGTGCTGTGTGTTTAGCCCTTGCCATGCTGCCTGGTGCTCTGTGGCCTACAGATGGCAGGGCCAGTGAGGGCGGTGCTCTGCAGATGGGAGGGAGGGTGGGCGCCCAGCTCCTGCTGTGGGGGTGGCAGCCTGAGCTCCCTGCCCCTGAGAGAGGAAGGGGTGGGGGCCCAGGTGGAGTGGGAGGGGCCCCTGTGGAGGGAAACGGCTCCCTGGTGGAGCAGCCGAGTGCAGCTGGGCCTGTGGCCTGGGAGGCAGCCTTGTGGGTGCCTGCTCCCCAGCCCACACCTCCGGGCTGCAGCTGCGACCTGCCTCCCGCAGATGGGCCATGGCCGGGGCTTGGCTGCTGCTTCTCTTGGCCCTCGGGTGTCCAGCCCTGCCCGCAGGTGAGTCCCTGCCTGCTTCTCTCTGTGCCCCGTTTGTCTGCCCCGAACCACCCTCTCCCTCTGGGCGTCCGGGTGAGATGCAGGGAGGCAGCACGGAGGCACTGGAGCCTCTGAGAAGGTCTCAGTAGCCCATTTCCCTTCCCCAGTCACTCTACCTCCCAGCCACCTTGCTCTGGGCCCCCGTCCTGCTCCCCTGGGGTCCACAGTGTTGGTAGGGAGGAGTCAGCTCGTGGGGGTACAGAGAGACAAAGCAGGCGGGCGGGTGTCCATGGGGCGGGCGGAGAGCCAGGGCTGCTATGTGATAGGGAGTGAGGGGACCTGGCAACACTGTGAGGCCCCCCCTGCCTGCCCGTCCTGTCCCGGTCTCCTGCCCTCAGGGCCCTTTCCAGCAGGGCTCCGAGTGCCTGCTGTTCACTCCCAGCTGCCCCTTCTCAGGGGGCTCTCAGGAGAAGGCCCAGGGCCTCAGTGACTTCCCGGGTATATGCACCCCAGGCTCCAAAGATCAAGGCTGGAGCCAAAGGATTAGAATTGTGAGCGTTCCAGCTTCATGTAGAGCCTGTGCAGATTTGCATGTGTGTGTGGGAGTGTGTTTGTGTGTGTGTGTGGGAGTGTAGGAGGGAGCCCTCGGCCTTTGAATGAAGACATCTCCGTGAGCTGGAGCTGACCCAGTGTGTCACAGCTCTCCCTCCCGAGGAGGCCAGCCATGCCCATGTGGAGCAGGGCATGCCCAGGGCAGGCGACTGAGCTCCTGGAAGGACGCAGCCAGGCTGAGGAGGAGCACTCCTGGGGGCCTTTGTGGAGGAGGCAGATGCTTAGCTCACTGTGGGGAGTGTCTCTGCATGTACCGCTGCGGAGGCTCTGGAGCTGTGGTTCCTGGAGCTCATTCCTCCCTTTGTCTGTGATGCCTCATTAATGACAGCATGGATGGAATCCGAATACTCATCCGCCAGGTGTTTTACATTCATCAGCTTTATTCTACCAACAAACTGTGGGGCTGGCGTCACTAACGCCATTGAGACTGAGGGCTTTGAAAGTGGGGACAATGTATATGTAAATTATTACATATAATATAATGTTGTATATAAATTAATGTTGTATTTTTAATGCCTTGCACAGAAAGGTTCAGATATGATAGATGGGTGATGGAAAGATGATGGATGGATGGACGGATGGATGGATGGATGGACGGATGGACATATAGATGGAAAGTAGAGAGAATCGCTGTAGAAAACATGGATGATGGAAAAGAGTGAATGAGTAGAGAGGTGGATGAAAGAGTGGAGGGAAGGAAAGGTGTTTCAGGGGAAACCGCAAGGAGAGAGGGCTGGTGGAGAGGACGGAGGGACAGATGGATGGGGAAGGACAGACAGAAGCATAGACGCCTGCAGTGAGGTGCGGGCCTGGGAGGGCATGGGCAGATCTGGGCGCCCACAGGTGCACGCTCTCTTACAGGTGTGGGTGGCACCCCCTTCCCCTCGCTGGCGCCCCCCAAAACCACGCAGGTGGACGGGAAGCAGCAGGTGCTGGTGGTCTGCCTGGTCCTGGACGCGGCGCCCCCTGGCCTCGAGAGCCCCGTCTGGTTCTCCGCTGGCAACGGCAGCGCCCTGGGCGCCTTCACCTACGGCCCTTCCCCAGCCGCAGATGGCACCTGGACCAGCCTGGCCCAGCTCTCCCTGCCCGCGGAGGAGCTGGCATCCTGGGAAGCCTTGGTCTGCCACACGGGGCCTGGGGCTGGGGACCGCAGCCAGAGCACACAGCCCCTGCAGCTGTCAGGTGGGGACGGAGCCTGGGCCCTGTGAGTGCCCTGCCCCTTTCGCTCTCCCTGGTCCCGGGGTTTGGTGGGAAGGAGGCCGGCTCAGACCATGAGGGCATGAGGGGTGTCCCAGTGACCACCAACCAGGGGAAGGGGTGCCTGGGCTCAGAGCAGGGCCACCTGAGGCCCTGAGGCCTGGGGTTTGCAACTGTGACATCTCACCCAAATCCGGGCTCTGTGCATGTGTCCCCCAAGGTGACAGAGCCTCCTCCCTCCTAGGATGGAGATGTACATTAAGGTACATAGCGTCACCTGCTACCTAGGCCACTGTCTCTATCCCCAGGATTAATATCTACACATCCCTGTATGTCACCCCACCTATTAGACCCAAACAATGAGTGAATAACTGATTGCTGCCACTTACTCAGTGCTTCCTCCTGCCAGGTACTATTTACTGTAAACACTTTACATTTATGAAGTCATATAATTTTCCTCATTGTATCGGGGACAGAGACGTTAAGTAATATGTCCAAGGTCATCTATTATTATCACTTTATTCTTTTAAAAAATATTTTTATTGACTTTTTACAGAGAGGAAGGGAGAGGGATAGAGAGTTAGAAACAGCCATGAGAGTTTTCATCTATCAGCTGCCTCCTGCACTCCCCCTCCCCCCACTGGGGATGTGCCGGCAACCAAGGTACATGCCCTGGACCTTTCAGTCCACAGGCGTACACTCTATCCATTTAGCCAAACCGGTTTTGGCTATTACTTTATTCTTTAAAAATATTTTTTTTATTGATTCCGGAAAGGAAGGGAGAGGGAGAGAGAGAGAAACATCAATGATGAGAATCATTGATCAGCCGCCTCCTGCATGCCCCACACTGGGGGTGGAGCCCACAACTCGGGCATGAGCCCTGACCGAGGATCAAACTGTGACCTCCTGGTTCATAGGTCGATGCTCAGCCACTAAGCCAGGCCCGCCGGGCTATTATTACTCTATGAATAACCAGATGGCTTCCTCTTTTTGGATTATGTTGGTTTTAACATAATTTTTGTTGAACGAACCCTCTGCCTTCCAAAGGCTGCTGAGAAAACGATTCCTTGTCCGGAAGTGCTGAGGCAGCTCGCCTCCCAGGGGCTCAGCACAGGGGGCGGCGAGAGCCAGGCAGACCTGGGCCCCTCGGAGGACCTGCAGCGAGTGGGCTCAGTTCCCACTGCCAGTTCCTTTGTGCATTTATCCAGCGTGCCATGAACAGGCCCGTGTCAGGGCAAGGGCACCGTACTGGGCCGGGGGGGGGGGGGGGCTCGGTACTGGGGCAGAGGGCTCGGTACTGGGCTGGGGGGCACAGTACTGGGGCGGAGGGCACGGTACTGGGCCGGGGGGGGCTCGGTACTGGGGCGGGGGGCTCGGTACTGGGCGGAGGGCCCGGTACTGGACGGGGGGCACAGTACTGGGGCGGGGGGCACCATACTGGGCGGGGGCACAGCCCATCCCAAGTCTCACTCCTTCTCCTTGGCTGGCAGGAGAGACGTCCTCAGCCAGGACCTGCCTCTGGGAGCCTCTAGGGGGTGAGTACTGGGGCCAGGACCGCAGGTGCCATCTGGCCTGGTGGGTCCGATGGGGGTTGGTAGGGTCCCTGAGGAGCTGTCTGTCTGGCTGGGTTGGTGCCCTGGCCAGCCTGGGCCTCTGTGCACCCGCGGGTAAGACCTCTGGCCCCAGCCCGGTGCCTGGCCTCCAGCTGGGAGCACAGGTGAGCCTGTGAGAGGGGCAGCCCAGGAGAACGGCAGCATCAGGGCCTCGGAGACCCCTGGGAGGCGTGGGAGCCGTCACTCCCACCTCCTGCAGGTCATGGTCACCCCCGGCCTCCTCCGGCCACAGGAGCTTCTGAGCGGCTCCTCTGCAGCGAGGCTGCCTCCTGCCCGGCCCGGCCCCCTGACTGGGGGATGTAAGAAAGGGAAGGTGAGGCGGGTATTTGTTATTCCCAGGAGGAGGTGCGCTTAGACACCAGGAATGACCTGCCCTGAAGTTGGGGGACCACATGGAGGGGGAATGGCCAGGGCAGAGGACCAGGCCCCTCTTCTCGGGGGACATCGTGGGGGTGGGGTGCTGAGGAGCCGGGGCCCAGCCTGCTCCTTCCCTCCCGCAGGGACGGGGGGCCTTGTGCTGAGGCTGGGGGTGCTGAGGCTGCTGCTCTTCAAGCTGCTGCTGGTGGACCTGCTCCTGACCTGCAGCCGCCTGCTCACCCCGCCCGCTGCACCCGGCTGCCCGCACTGGCCGCCCCGCAGCCTGGGCGGTAGGAGTGACCCCGCCCAGCCTAATGCAGTCGTCACCGGAAGAGGCCCAGGGCTCAGGCCTCCTGCCCCGCAGGCCTGGCAGCTCCGGGGTTCACCCCTGCCCTCTGGGTCCCACCCTGGCAGGAGCCCGGTCTAAGAACAGGGGTGCTCTCTGCCCACCCAGCACCCCGTGCTCAGGGCCTCCCGCCTCGGAGGGCACTGCCACCTGCTCCTCCTGGACCTGAGCTTCCTGGGGGCCGGCTGGTCTCCCTCCTTCCCCTGAGGCTGGTCTGGGGGAAAGGCTGGTCTCTCCCCTCTGACTGGGAGCCCCTGAGGGCGGAGATTGACACAGGCATCCTGGGACATTTGAGATGCAGAACTCTGAGGACAATTAAAGGAGAACTTCAATGGCACAAGCAAAGCACAAGTGTTTTCATTCCTGTCTTCTCTGGGTTTAGAGGAGGCAGAAATCTGGGAGGCCTTCCCAGAGGAGGAGGGCTTTCTGAGGGCAAGACCCTGGGAACTGCAGCATGGGGCTGGGGGCTGGGGGCTGGGGACTGTGCCTCCTGTCTCCTTACTCAGGGCCAAGCGGGAGGCCAGGCCCCTCTGGCTCCTCACCCTGGTCCATGCTCTGTGAGAGGTGGGGCGTGCAGCCCAGGAGCCCAGGAGCCCGGGAATGCGGGTGCCGGGCCTGATGGGAAGTCTTGTGCAGACACCACCGAGGTGAGCAGGGCCAGGATCCCAGAGGAAGGGGAGTGTGCTCAGCGCCAAGAGCGCTGACGGTCACCCCAAGCTTACTCTGATTAACCAAGTGAGGGTCATTATTCATTTCACAAGCATTCACTGACTGTCAGCTCAGCCAGGCACTGAAGCGGCTTTTGTTTGTTTTCTTTCCTGAAGAGGCTTCTTGTGGTGATAGGACATGGGGCTCCATGAGGGGTGTAGGCGGCGTGTCCCCTGTTCCTTCAGCACCGCCCTTCCAGAGGCTCCTCCAGGGGCTCAGCCCAGCACCGCTGGGCGCTGGGGCGTGGATGTCCCCGGGCCGCCCAGAGCAGCCGGCTGGGCCAGTGGTGCTACCGGTCTCCCCCAAGGTGTCGCTGGGAAAGCATGTTCTAACGCCCCTCCCCCAATGTGGTGTCAGTGACGTGTGCCCTCTTAGCTGCTGGTCCATGAAAACCCTCACTGTCTCCCCCACTGCCCACCTCTCACCAGCCTGTCAGAAGATTCTCCCACCTCTTTTTGGATTATGGGGGGGAGGGGTCCCACAACTTCTATGGATGAATCTGTCCACATCCCCACAGGGCCCGCTGCTTCCCCAACTCACAGACTGAGAAGGGTGGGCTGGTCAGGGTAGTCATGGCCTCAGACTTCCTCCAGTCATCATCCCTCCCAGTCCCAGCCCCGACGCTGACTCAGGGCGCCTGCCACACTAATTCTTGTCTCAGTAAATGTCCCCTCGTTCTGGAAGCCGTGTTCCCTTAGCTTCAGCACCCTCCCCATGCCCCCAGTCCTGCCTGCCCCGGACCACTCCCCACCGAGACAGGTTTAATGTTATCTTTCCGGAGGGCTCCTGGAAATGAAGTCCCTGCCTTCTATGCGCTCAGAATCCAAAGGAATAAATAATAGGGCATTAGCCGAAACCGGTTTGGCTCAGTGGTGGAGCTTCGATCTGCGGACTGAGAAGTCCCAGGTTCGATTCCGGTCAAGGGCATGTACATTGGTTTCGGGCACATCCCCGGTAGGGGGTGTGCAAGAGGCAGCTGGTCGATGTTTCTCTCTCGTCGACGTTTCTAGCTCTCTATCTTTCTCCCTTCTTCTCTGTAAAAAATCAATAAAATATATTTTTAAAAAATAAATAAATAATAATAATAGGGCATTAGAGGACCGATGTTACAGAGAATTAATGTGTGACCTTTCTACAATCTGCTCCATAAGCTTTAATCCCATTAACCTATTGGAACTTCCCAGGAACCGGCGAGCCTCCAACAGCCGCTGGAAGGATCCCTCAGTCATCACAGCGCAGACAGCGAGGCCAGAGAGGAAGTGGAATGTTTGGTTCTCACGGGAGAAATGTAGGGACTCTGGGCACGAAAAGAGCTATTTAGAGGCCGGGCATCTATGGCGGGCAGTAGCAATAACAACAATAATAAAACTTTAGAAAAGCTGCTCACAGGAGCTCTGCGTTATATCAACCCCGGGGAAGTGACGTGAGAGGAAGCGGAGAGGCGGTGAGGACGCATTTCCCACCTCTTCTAGGCCGGCAAGCCGCTCCCCCTCGCCCTTGCCCCTCCACACACACACACACACACACACACACACACACACCCCACACACAGACCCAGACACACACACACACCACACACACACACAGAGAGACACACACACAGAGACACACACACACACACAGATACCACACAGACACCACACACACATACACCACACACACACACACACAGAGACACACACACACACCACACACACACACACACACACACACATCCCACACACACCACACACACACACACACAGACACAGACACACACACACACCACACACACACAGAGACACACACACACACCACACACACACACACACACACACACACACACACATCCCACACACACCACACACACACACACACACACACATCCCACACACACGCCATACACACACTACACACACACACATATACACCACACAGACTTACACACAGACACACACACACACATCCCACACACACACCTCACACACACACACACACACACACACAGATACACACACACACACACACACACACACACACACACACACACACCCCGGTCCTAGTCCAGAGCCTCCGTTAGGGGGTGGGGAAAGACGTTGCCATTGGCCACCGAGGACACCATCCTCTCTCTCATTGGCCCAAACCGAAAGGGGCTCGTTCCCCCATTTGCTGGAGGGCGAGCCCGGAACGCCCATTGGCTGCGCAGCCCGCGGGCCTCGGCGCTCCGGGCGGCTGGCGGCCGGCGGCCGGGGCGGGAGGGAGGGGCGGGCTCGCTGCCCGGGTGCGAGGCACGTGTGCGGCCCCGGAAGCGCCTGCGGAGCTGGGAAGCGCAGCCCGGGCGGTCCGGCCGCCATGGAGCCCCTGCCTGAGCGCGCGCGCCGGCCCGGGCCCCGCTGGCTCCTGCTGCCGCTGCCGCTGCTGCTGCTGCTGCCGCCGGCCCCGGGGCTGGGCCCGCGCCGCGCCCGCGCCGAGGAGAGCGACTGGGTCCGCCTGCCCAGCAAATGCGAAGGTGAGGGCGGGGCGGGCGCCCGCGGGGCCGGGCTGCCAGGAAGGTCCGGGTCCGAGCGGGACCCCGGGGTGCAGGGGCGGCGACCGAGCGGGTGTGGGTGCAGCTGGAGCTCACAGACCCTAAAAACAAGCAGCTGCCATCAGGGCGGCAGGTGCCTTGCCGGGTGAAATGCAGGTTGGGGGCCTGTGAGCCCCCGCTGCCCTCCCGGCGGTGGGGAGGCTGGTGCGCAGGGGAGTCAGGGGGCTCCGCGGGGAAAGCAGGAGTTGGCGGCGGAGAGAAGTAACGGGAGGGCCCCGCGCAGGCCCGGCTTGAGGAACCGAAAGGATTCGTATGACTGGTCCGAGGGGAAGAGCCCGAGCCCCCCTGGGCCTCACCGCAGCTTCATCTGTGGGGCTGGCCGCCTCCTCACCAGCTGTGAGCTCCCTGAGGACCGGGACCTTCTCTCCGATATTTTTGGAATAAATATAAATAAACGGGCAGTGGTGGGGGGTGGAGGACGGAGGAGGAGCTGAGGCTTAAGGGGTCTCTTTGAGACTGAGGGAGGAAGGTTTTAGGAATGTGGAAAAGAGAGCATCCCAAAGACCTAGGGTGTAGGTGTGGAACCAGAGGGGGAGAGAGACAGGGTGGGTGCTGGCCCATGAAGCAGAGACCCGGGACTGTGAAGGGCCCCCCTTTCCTTCCTCCCCTTCCCACCCCTCTAGCCCCAGGCCACCCAGAAAGTGGGCTTTGAATCTGTTTCATCCCAATCCCCAGCCTCAGTCCCCAGCCTACAGCAGGCCAGATGGCCCCTAAGCACTGGGAGGTGGGGGCGGGGAGGGTTTAGAACACATAATCCTTCCCCTGGAGAGAGGGGAGGGGAGATGCTTCAGAGATGGGATGAGTCCGGGTAGGTCTCCCTCTCTCCCTTGAACAGACTCGGGGCTGTGATGCTTTCCCTTTCCCTCTGCCTCCGGTGCCGACCAAGATCCAGGGGGGGTTTCACTTCCTCTTCTCTTTTCACTATTTTATTCTGATACCAAAGAGCCCCTACTACTGTGTCTCATATTCTCCGAAGCTCACCTTTCTTTCCCTCAGAGGCATTCACAGGTGAGAAGTGTAGGGCTGGCAAGGATCTTTGAGACGATTGTAGCACAACCTTGTTTTGTAGGTAACTGATCAAGATTACTTCAGAATATTTTTAGTCACAGGATGGGGTGGCAAACTCCAACCCTTAGGCTCTTAATCGGGTATTTACTTTTATTTATCATTTTGTTATTAAATGCTGGCCATGTCTGGCCCACAAAGCCTGTCTCCGGGCTCGGGAGCCTGAGTGGCACAGGCCTTGGCACAGAGAAAGGGGAACTTGCCCAGAAAAAGAGGAAGTGCATGTCTGTGGGTGTCTGGGTGGGCGCCATGAGTCTCCCCCAAGACTGGATCCCCAGAGGGGGTCTTGAAGAGGGAAAGTTTGGAAGAGTTGAGACAGGCAAGGTTTGGCGGATGAATACAAGAGGTCGGTTGATGGGTTCCAACCTTCTGGGCCTGGAATATTACAGGCTGAAGGTGGGCACAGGAGCCAGAAAGGTGATGACTTTACACAACTCTGAGATCACCATCGTATATGTTGGAATTTTCGTGTGTCCCCAGTTCTCCAAGCTGCGTAGTAATGTGTATGTCATCCAGTTTCACCACGCAGGCCTCCAGGGGGTGCGCTTGTTTCCGTGGTAGTAATTGGTCTTCTACCCAACTCTACCGCCAGTGTTATAACAAGGCTGGTGGCTGTATTCTCTTCAGAAGCTGCTCAGCCACAAACACAGCCTCCCTCAGGACACGTCATGTATCCATTCCCAGCAGAGCCCCAGACCAGAGGAATACAGAGCAGATCAGGACATGCACTCACTCTGGGGACTCCTAGGTCTGATGAGAGGCAGGAGAAAGGACCAAAGGCCGCACAGTCCTGGGATGGAACTGAGAGCAGGTGGGATTAGCCCTGGCGGGGGGAGGGCTCGGTGGGTTGGAGTGTCCATACATTGAAAGGTGGCGGGTTCGATTCCTCGTTGGGGCACATACCTAGGTTGTGGGTTTGCTTTCTGGTCAGGATCGGTATGGGAGACAGCCAATGGATGGTTCTCTCCCACATCCATGCTTCTTTTCTTTTAAATAAATTTTATTGATTTTTTTTTTTTAACGGAGAGGAAGGGAGAGAAAGGGGGACAGAGAGCTAGAAACATCAATGGGAGAGAAACATCGACCAGCTGCCTCCTGCACACCCCCTACTGGGATGTGCCCACAACCAATGTACATGCCCCCGACTGGAATCGAACCTGGGACCTTTCAGTCCGCAGACCGACACTCTATCCACTGAGCCAAACCAGTTTTGGCCACATCCATGTTTCTTTCTCTCCCCGCTTCCTCTCTGGGTGAGGATTAAAAAAAGAAAGAAAGAGCAGGTAGGATTTGTACAAAAAAGGATTCCTGGGGAGGAGACTTTTATGGTGAAGGTGGGAGACTGGGCAGAAAATTCCAAGGCCCCTGGAGGGCAGTAAGCACTTCCTAAGGCTAAGGCACTGAAGTGGCAGCCTTCCTTACGCAGTGAGAACTGTCTGTTTACACTTCTTTCTGCTCCATTAGACCGAGTCCTGAAAGGGAGGAAAAGAGAGAAAGCAGCCTCCGGAGGGGGCCGATGCGGGAATAGAGAGCTGGTGTTTTCCAACGTGTGAAATCCAGCGATAAAACAGTCACAGGAGACACTTAGGGGCAGTTGGGGAAATTTGTATTAGATGGTCTTGGAATTATTGTCCATTTTCCAAGGAATCAAAATTTGTTTTGCGGTTAGGTAAGAGAAGGTCCTTTTTCTCAGGAGATGCGTGATCACGTATGCAGGGGTGAAAGATCATGATGTCTGCAACCTGCTTTCAAAATGGCTTAGCACAGACGGTGTATACAACAATGTACGCGGGTGTGGGCAAAGGTACTTCACAGCTGTGAGCATGCAAAACAGTGTATTCTTGTATTAATGAATGATTCACTCCGTAAATGGTAGAGAAATATTATCACATTGTTTGATGTTGTATATTGGAGACCACTGTTGAATGTGAACGGAAGGAATGTAGTGTATGTTCATGGCACCCTTTTGGCTTTTCTATATGTCTGAAAATTTTAAAGCTAAAGTGATGGTGGGGGCAGAGGAGCAGAAAGGAGCGGGGAGGCGTGACCTCGGTGGTAGAAGGGCCACGAGTGGACAGGGGCGCTGCCAGCTCCTCCCCTCCCAGCGGAGGGACGGACCACGGACCCACGGGGGCTGGGAGGAGGACTCAGCCCCGCATGCTGCTGTCCCCCCAGCTGGGAGAGGCGTGAACCTGAGTCTTTTGCTGGGAGCTGCTCCCAGAGGACACAGGCACTCACCGCTGTGCTGTGCCCCCTCTCCCAGTGTGTAAATATGTCGCCGTGGAGCTGAAGTCGGCCTTCGAGGAGACTGGCAAGACCAAGGAGGTGCTTGACACCGGCTACGGCATCCTGGACCGGAAGGCCTCCGGGGTCAAGTACACCAAGTCGTAAGTGAACGGGACCCACGGGCCCGGCCTGCTGTGTTCCTCAGGGCTCCCGCGGCCTGGCGTTCCCGTCTTCCTTCCAGCCAGGCAGACCCGCCAGGGGGAGGCAGCTCTAACGGAGGCCTGCATTTGCCCGCTGGTTCTGCGACCAGCTGATTGGGAGGCTTTCCTAAATCCCTCCGCTGCTCTGCTTCACGTCCCTCCTTTGTAAAAGCCAGACCATCACTCCCAGACGTTTGGATTTCATGGACCAACGCAATTTTAAAAATATTGGTAATGTGAGATTACCAACATTTAATTTTGCCAGATATAACTATCAAAAATAATTTAAAAAAAAAAAAAAAAAGCACATAAAACTTCCATCAGCTCCAAAACCGGTTTGGCTCAGTGGATAGAGCATCGGCCTGCAGACTGAAAGGTACCAGGTTTGATTCCGGTCAAGAACAGGTACCTTGGTTGTGGGCACATCCCCAGTAGGGGGTGTGCAAGAGGCAGCTGATCGATTCTCTCTCATCCGATGCCCATCTCGCTTCCTCTCTGTAAAAAAAAAAAAAATTTAAACTTCCATCAGCGATGGTCATCCTTTCAAAATTAAATGCTATTTTAACATCAAAATTGTATGCATTTTGCTTTATTTAAAAAAAAAAAAACCTACAGAATCATTGAGCTTTATAAAAATAAAAAAATAAAAAATCCTTCCCTAGAGCTGTTAAAACTTTGTCTCTCTGGTCTGTGTTCCAGCATGTCAGAGCACCCAGACCAGATGACCTATCTTCCTTCCAGCTCTGACCTCCCGTTGGTGAGATGCGCAGGCGCTGGGGCAGCAGGGCTGGAGGGACGGACCACGGACCCACGCGGGCGGGGAGGGGGACTCAGCCCCGCGCGCTGCTGTCTCCACAGGGACTTGCGGTTAATCGAGGTCACCGAGACCATTTGCAAGAGGCTCCTGGACTACAGCCTGCACAAGGAGAGGACCGGCAGCAACCGGTTTGCCAAGGTGGGACTGGGCTGGTCCTTGTTCCCTGCGGGGCGGGGCCTGTGGGGCTGAGTGCTCTGCTGGTGTGGCTGTGATGAAGACCCTGCCCTGGAGCTTCCCTCCGCGGCCTCCTCCCACTCTTTGTGGATTGGTTTGTGGATCCCGGGTGGCCTGCCTTTTCCTGGGCCATAGGCACACTCATAGCGGCTGGGCCTGCCCGTCAGGACCCTGCCTCTGTGCAGACTGGCGGGAATGCCCAAAGTGCGGCCGCCAGGGGGGCCTAGAGCCCGGTGCAGGGCGAGGGAATGAGGGTTTGGAGAGGAACCCAGAGCCTCTGGCCCTCTGGGGCCCGGGCACACGCCTCACCCTTCCCGCAGAGGCCTGGGGAGGTAAGGCCCTTACACCACCGCCAGTGCCTCTCCCTGGAGAATGCGCTTTTACAAAAGGCCCGCACTTCCTCCTCTGCCACATCGCTTCACCAGAGTCCCCTCCTGGCAGAGGAGATCAGTATGGACTCCGCCCTGGCTGGTGTGGCACGGTTGGGCATCGTCCGTACATCAAAGGGTCTCCGGTGGATGCCCAGGCAGGGCACATGCCTGCGTTGCAGGCTCCATCCCCGGTGGAGGGCACGCAGGAGGCAGCCTGTCGATGTGCTCTCACTTCGATGTTTCTCTCCCTTTGTCTCTCAAAATCAATAAACTATTTAAAAATAAAGAAATTTGCCAAAACCGGTTTGGTTCAGTGGATAGAGCGTCGGCCTGCAGACTGAAAGGTCCCAGGTTCGATTCCGGTCAAGGGCATGTGCCTTGGTTGCGGGCACATCCCCAGTAGGAGGTGTGCAAGAGGCAGCTGATCGATGATTCTCTCTCATCGATGTTTCTAACTCTCTCTCTCTCTCTTCCTCTCTGTGAAAAATCAATAAATTTTAAAAAATAAAATAAAAATAAAGTAAAATTTGTATGAGTTTTGTACTCTAGTTGATAATAAATTTGTGTTTGCTTTAATGTAAAAATGTTAAAAGTTAATTTTTCATAACAAGAAAGTTAGAAACAGCCTAACCATCCATCAAACAGGCGTGGCTAAATAGATTGATTGGCTGTGCACTGGCCTGTTCACAACTGAGGAACACAGGCTGAGGCAGCTCTGCCAAGACTGAGCTGAATCTTCTGCAGCGTGTGTCACTAAATAAAAAGGCAGGATAGTGTGTGACACACACATTGCTGCTGTGTAAAAAGTGTGGGAGGGGCGAGGAGGATGCATTTGTATGTCTGTTGGCATATATTTGTATGCATTCTCTCTGGAAAGGTAGTCTGCTGTCTCGGGGAGAGACCTAGGAAGCTGGCAGAAGAACCCCCAGCAGGGAGCAGGCCTGGGTGAGGGGAGTGAGCCCAGCCACAGTGCGGGGCGGGAGCCAAGACAAAAACGTATTTCCTGGAAAAGGAGTGTCCCTTCAGAGGACCTGAGGGCACAGCAGACCTGTGGGGAAGGATAAGGTGTGGGGAGGCAGGACAGGGCGTGTGTATGGGTATGTGTGTGTGCATGCGTGCATGTGTGGGGGTTACGGGAGGGACACCTAAAAGAGGGGAGAGGAGGGTGAGGACCCCAAGAGGTCTTGGCTTCTCAGACTGGCCTTCGGCCTCCGGCAGCCCCCGCCGAGGACGGCAGGAGGCAGGGAGGGACCCCCGCTCATGTCCGGTCACTCTTCCAGGGCATGTCCGAGACGTTTGAGACGCTGCACAACCTGGTCCACAAGGGGGTCAAGGTGGTGATGGACATCCCCTACGAGCTGTGGAACGAGACCTCCGCAGAGGTGGCGGACCTCAAGAAGCAGGTAGGCCCGGGGGTGGGCACGGCTCTGCCGAGGAGGCCGCCCCGGAGCAGGGGCCTCCCCTCCGGCCGCCCGCCTGTCGCGGTGGCCGAGCCCCGCGGAGCCCCTCGGGAGGGACCCGGTGCCGGGCCTTGCCAACGCGAGGGCTGTGGTTCCAGTGCGACGTGCTGGTGGAGGAGTTCGAGGAGGTGATCGAGGACTGGTACCGGAACCACCAGGAGGAGGACCTGACGCAGTTCCTCTGCGCCAACCACGTGCTGAAGGGCAAGGACACCAGTGAGTCTGAGGGAGGGAGGGAGGAGGCAGGGCGGCTGGCCCTTGATCTCATTGTTTGCTCCCCCGGGTGGGGGGGAGGTAGGGAAGGGAAACAGAAAAGAAGTACGAAAGAGAGGTTGTTTCCTAGCTGGGTGGGCAGCGTCCTATACACCGAAAGATGGTGGGTTCGATTCCCCGTCAGGGCACATCCCCAGGGTGCAGGTTCAATCCCAGGGGTGGGTACGGGAGGCAGCCAATCGATGTCTCTCTCCCCTGGAATCAGTTTTAAAAAATTAAAGAAAGCTGAAACCAGTTTGGCTCAGTGGATAGAGCATCGGCCTGTGGACTGAAGGGTCCCAGGTTCGATTCCGGTCAAGGGCATGCACCTTGGTTGCCGGCACATCCTCAGTAGGGGGCATGCAGGAGGCAGCTGATGGATGTTTCTCTCTCATCGATGTGTCTGACTATCCCTCTCTCTGGAAAAAAATCTATGAAATACATATTTTTTTTAAATTAAAAATTAAAATAAATCACTGCCCCCTGGGAGCTTGACGTGACAGGGTGGGTGAGAGGCACCGAGCAGGCACAGAGCAGCATGCAGAGAACTCCGAGGCCCCAGGAGCCTGGGTCCCGGGAGGTGGGATAGGGACTGGGATGTCAGCCATTCCAGCTGCCACTCCCCAAGCAGTGCTCCTCGCCAGCAAACCCGCCTCTCCTCCTCGCCCCAGGTTGCCTGGCAGAGCAGTGGTCCGGCAAGAAGGGGGACACGGCCGCGCTGGGCGGGAAGAAGCCCAAGAAGAAGAGCAGCAGGGCCAAGGCCTCCGGGGGCAGCGGCAGCAAACAGAGGAAGGAGCTGGGAGAGCCCGGCCCCGAGGAGGACGAGGGTGTCCAGCAGGCGTCCCCCCTCACACACAGCCCCCCCGACGAGCTCTGAGCCTCACCGGCAGCCGCTGAGCCCAGACTCCCGACGTGGAGGCTGAAGAATCCGAGACTCGGCTCTGGCAGCCAAGACGGCGCCCCGGCCCGGTCCTCCCGCCGCGCTGGGTCCTCTCCGGCTCCGGAAGCACTCTCTCCCCCTCTGGCAGGCGTTCTCTCCTGGCGAGGCTGCAGGCGGGCGGGCCGTGCGGCCTCGGGGCTGCCGAGCGCAGTGTGGACTCGGGAGCGGCAGGTGTCGCTGGGCCCCGGGACTGGAGCCCGCTGGACCCTGTGGGGAGGGCACGCCTGCCCCCACCGCGAAGCAAGACTGCAGGCCCCAGCCCTCCTCTCTCTCATCCTCCTGTGGACACCTTGTGCTCTGCCTGGCCCTCCCCAGGGCTCAGAGTAAAAGCCTTTGGCCTTTTTGTTCTGATTTCTGGGTCACCTTCAGCCCCTCAGAGGGGCCTCGAGCCCCTTCTTGCTGTTCCCTGCCCTTTTCCTTCCGGCCCAGGCTATTTTGGGGTAAAGGGCAGGCGTGGGGGGAGGCCCAGCACAGGGCCTGCCCCCTCCCTCGGGCCAGGAGGAGCCTCATTTTTGCCCCGAGCACCTGGCTGCCCTCATTCCCACCTCCATCCGGCCCTGCCTGTTGGTCTTGGACCTTGTTCCCTGATTGATCGCTCCGCTCTAGCTGTTGTCCCTGGAGCCTAAGGGGGAGGACAGCGGGTCACACCGTGTCCTCCGGGAGCAGGCGGGGTGGAGGCACTGCCCGCGTGTCCTGAGGGCAGGGACCGGGCGGGCGGTAGCAGCAGTGAGGGCAGGGGCGCTGTGCGGAGCGCAGTGCTCCCCCCACACTGCTCTGGGCCGGATGCTGTTCACCCCGTTTTGTAGGGAAGGAAACAGGCTCACGTCAGGGGACATGCCTGAAGTCCTACTGCTCACCGTGCAGCTGGCACTCAGACCCTGGTTTCCGGACGGCGAGCCCAGCATTGTCTCCACTGCCCCCCTGCCGCCAGGACACCACCCCAGCGCCTGGCACTGCAGTGCCATTCATATTGAACTGGTTGGTTTGGTTTGGTTTCTTGGCCATAACCTACCTCCACCAACAAGCCACCTTTAAAGCAAAAACAGGAAACAGCTGTTGCTTCTTAGGAGAGGACGGTGGGAGGTCCCCCTCTAGTCCTTGTGAGCACCCGCACCAAGACCCTCATCCCCTGGGCCGGCCCACTGGGCAGGAGGGGGCGCACTGCTGAAGTGCCCCAGGTTCGTCATCTTTGGGAGAAGAGGCTCTGGGGTATGATCTGGGGGTGAGGGGTGCCCTCGGCCTGGGCTCAGCCTCTTCCCCAAGTTGGGACAGCCAAGGCCATGGAGAGTGGGACAAACTGGGATTTTATTCCCTCTGTCAGCGAGGCCTGGAAGGACATTTTTTGGTCTGTCCCCCACTGCCCCACCTCCAGGACTGATAACTGCTCCGTGAGGAGGGCTGTGGGATTCCAGCATAGACTCCGGTTCCAGCCTCAGCTTTGTTCTGCGCACAGGAAGTGACGGGCTGGGGTTGGGGGCTGGAACGCAGGGCTGGAAAACCATTTGCAACCCCCTGGGCTGTCACTAATCCAAGCCCACAACCTTCAGTGCCTGGCTTACGTCTGTCCCCAAAGCTTTATTGATCCGTGGGGTAGGATGAGGCAAAGATGGGGCCTCTCACCAGGCGGTGGCCCCGTGGCCCAATCCCAGGCCAGGGCAGACAGCTGTGGCTGCCTTGCTCTTTGACCTGTGGCTGCCCCATGAGCCCTCTCCTCCCCCTGCCCCGCAGGGCAGGCATGCTGCACTCACTGGCACTCCAGCAGACAGCTTCTCCCTGCCCAGCCTGGGAAAGGCAGAAGGCTGCCCTGGCCGGGTGGCTCAGATACACCAAGGTTGTGGGTTCAATACCCAAACAGGGCACATACAAGAAGCAACCAATGAGTGCATAAATATGTGGAACAACAAATTGGTGTTTTTCTCTCTTCCTTCCTCTCTGACTAAAAACTTTTTAAATGGGCTGGTCAGAAAATAGGCTCCAGTCTCCCAGGTTGCTTTTCTGTCCCCAACACACATAGAAGCCTTTCTGAACTTAAATATTGCCTCCCACTTCCTCACACCCCTTCCCTCCACCAGGTGAAGGGACAGCCCCCGTTAGAAACCCTATTAGGATAGGGCTTCCTACTCTCACCTGGCCATGAAAGTCACCTGAAGTGCTGGTTAAACATGCAGGTGTCCGGGCCCACTTCGGGCTCGCTGGGTTGAAGACCTAGGAGCCTGCGGGCCGAGGCCAGCTGGAACCCACCGCACTTAGGGGGAACTCAGGAGGAACTCAGGGTGTCGTCCAAGAGGGAGCAGGGCTTCAAAGACGCTACACTGTCGGGGTCTTAGAAACATGACTTGTCAGAGCCCCAGAGAGGATCTGTCTCCGATGAGGACTTCCATCGTCCAGGATGGCAAATGATGGCGGACAAAGCAGGAGGCCAGTTTGTTCCAATTCAAGGATTAAAGAACCATAGGCCCAGGGAGTCCAGCCTCAGGGGTTGGGCCCCAGAAAATTATAGTAAATATACAAACCCATGCCTGGCGGCCTCTTAAGTATGAAGCCCTTGTGCAGTGCATAATCTACCCAGCTGTTCACAGCAGCTCTGCATCACTTAGTCCGCAGTGCTGGCAAAATCCCTCTTACTTTTTATATTAGAAAAAGAAGGCACATTTTCACCACCAAGGCATGAGCCATGTGTAATCGGTTTACGGAAGAGCTCTGAATTAATCCGGAGGCAGAGCCAGCTGAATCTCTCAATATCCCCCGATGGCCTGGTTTGCTTTATTGAGGAGTTCACTATATTAATAACAGTAGCCCCTTCCTGCGAGTGCTATGTGGCAAGCACAGCTCTGCATGCTTTACTTAACTCACTTAGTAAAGCCTGATCACAAGGCCATAGATTTTTTTTAAAATACTGAAGTAAATTATACCTACAGAAAAGTGCACATAAGTGTATACACCTCAGTGAATTTTTTTAAAGTATATATTTTATTGATTTTTTACAGAGAGGAAGAGAGAGTTAGAAACATCAATCAGCTGCCTCCTGCACACTCCCTACTGGGGATGTGCCCCCAACCAAGGTACATGCCCTTGATCTAAATCAAACCTGGGATTTTTCAGTCCACAGGCCAAACCGGTTTCGGCCTCAGTGAACTTTTATAAACACCCCCTAAGTCACCAGCAACCATGAAACATTACCATCACACACACACACACACACACACACCACAAAAAGAACAAGGATTTTTGTCTATTTTGTTCCCTGTTGTATCCCAGTACTTAGTCCAGAGCCTGGCACAGAGGAGGAGATGCTTAATAAGAAGCTGTTGAATGAATGAAATGCAGAAAGGTTAAGCAATGTGCCCATGGTCATACATTCAGCAAGTGGCCCAACCAGGGCGAGCCCCGGTGGGATGGTTCAGTGTCTGGGGCAATGCCATTCCACCACGGTACCCTGCAGCTACAGCTTGTTCGGACAGCATCTTCCAAAAGGCAGACCCGCTGCTCTCTGCTAGGCTGTTATGTCTTCAGAATTTAATGTTGGGAATGCAAGACCAAGTTAACCTTCAAGTCTTTCTCTCATTAAAGTTTACGTTTGTGTTTAGCTTAAACCCAGTTTGATCCTTAAGCTGCCCTCCAGGGCTGGCTTTCTCTCTTTGCAATTTGAGAGGAATCCAGTTTCACTCATTCTTTCTCTAAAATCGCACCCTCCATCTATTAAGGTTGTACAGGCCAACGGAACTTAAAATTCCATAAGTGATTGTGGTTGTGGATAAGGAGGTGTTGCTGCAGACTAGAAGCAGGCTGACTTCACCACCAGTTTCGGAAGAGGACAACATAAGTTACTACCCTCCACCCCCAATATAAAAGGCTTAGTACATCCTGATAAGGTTGCAGATTCAATCCTTAGGGCACACACAAGATCAACCAATGAGTGCATAAACAAGTGGAGCAAATAGATGGGGGTTTATTTGTTCCACATGTTCATGCATTCATTGCATAAACATAAATTAAAAACAAATTTAAAAAAAAATTAAAAACAAATTTTTTTTAAAAAGATTATTTTGTTAGCAATTACTTACCAAAGTGGTTTTGGCATTTTACTGTCCAGCTCATCGAGATGTGATGGCAGGTACTGTCACCTGTTCCGTGAGCAATGCTCAGCCTGTGACTAAGGTTCAAACAGCGGGTCATTTTTATGTAGAAAAACAGCTGAGAGAGCAGACTGGCACATACCTATGAGATATTACTGAGGTTAGCACACCTTAAAACTGCTTTTAACAAAGTGTGAAATAGTCAAAGAGAACCTCTCTTCGTATACATTGTTGGAATTCTCAGATGCACAAAGCTTTATAGACTGTAAACACCATTAATCAGTGTACAATCCAATGATATAGGGACCAACTCACTTCACAAAACTTTATTAAAGCAGACTCTTATTTGGTATATCAAAAAGTCCCAAAAGGATCCTTGTGATAAATCTGCTAGCAGAGTCCATGGGAGTGGATGGCTTCTAGCCCCACCCCCACCCCCACTCCAGTATCCCAGTGGTCAAGCTGGGTAAGCAGTCAGCAGAAAAGCTTTTTGCAGCAGCTTGGTCTGGAGTCTGGAGTCCATCCTCTGAAAAATGAATTTCTACCAGTTGTGAGTTAAAAACAGCCAGATGTCTTCCATTTGTAGTTACTGTGTGTATGTCACTCACTATTCTAGGATTTTAATGTGTCCTCAAATAAAAATTGACTTGAGTTATGTCCAATGGCAGCAATTGTCCCAAAATAACGTCTTGGTGTGTGTGTTCCTTTTATTGGTTCCAGACAATTTTGTAGTGGGAAGAGATGAAGCCAACAGGAGTGGGTTCACTCACATGCCCAAAACATGGCTAACATCTCAAGGACTTTCCAACAGATCGTGGATTCCTCCAGAGATGTCACAGTTTTAAACTTGGTACCAAGTGGGAATAGCATGAGCTTTGGCCCTAGAGGTCCAGACAGGCTGGAGGTTGGGGGACAGGAGAGAAACCGAGTTCCTCAGCTGAAATCCTGGCTGGTCCCACCAGCCTCCAAGACATTAATTTTTGTCCAGTTGTGCTCTGGTTGATGACAAGGCCTCCTGCCCCAAACACCAGCTGGAGTTGGATATATGACCCTTGTCCTGGAAAAGGGCCTCAGTTGCTGCTGCTGCTGTCCTCACTATCCGAATATGCACCCAGCAGGCTCAGAGAGGAGGTGCCGGGCGTCCTGGTTGCAGGGTCTTCGGCTTTCCCGTTGCTCACAGTGTCCAGTGTGGGTGCCAGCTGACCCTGTTGGGTGCTGCGATCCAGGCCTGTTTTCTTCACCACAACGAGGCCTGAGAGCTGAGGCC